AGCCCCTCACTCCCGACCCGCAGCCCCGGGGTGATCCCGGCTCTATCGTGGGCCGGTTTCCCCCAGGGCAGCCCGGAGGGGGGGTGGAGAAGCAGCCGGTTTCTCTGCCGGCTGAGCCGAGGGTCTGGGTCTGAGAGAACCCAGGAGTCCCGCCTCCCAGCCCCGCCCTAGCCAGGAGGGAACCCAGGCGTCCGGCTGGTGGCCGGTTTCCGGGCTGGGCTCTGTGGCAGCCAATGGCCAGGCCGGTCCCTCCCCCACAGGCCGCGGCCTCCAATCCCAGCCCGGAGGGGGCCAGGCCGAGCCGGGCAGGGATCGGGCTGGTGCCGGCCCGGCCCCGGCAGCACCGCAGGGAGGGTGAGTTCGGCCGCCCCTCCCCCCTTTGTGTGCGAGCTCCCTGCCCTCTCCCGGAGAGAACCCAGGCGTCCGAGCTCCCTGTCCCCTCCCGGGAGAGAACCCAGGCGTCCGGGCTTCCTGCTCTAACCACCAGACCCCACTCCCCTCCCAGAGCCTGGGAAAGAACGCAGGCGTCCAGGCCTCCAGCCCCTCCCGGGAGAGAACCCAGGTGTCCTAGGCGCCCTTAAAGGGCCAGTGCAGGGGAAGCCCCGCCCCCTGAGCCTCCATTACCCAGGATGCAAGTGGAGCAAAGTCCCAAAACTTGGGAGGAAACTAAAATCGCAGGAGGAGGGAACGTGTGAGTGGGGGGGGCCTTGGGGGGAACCCCAGAGAGAAAGAGGAGGGGGAATATGGGGGGTCTCTGGGGTTTGGGGGATCCCCGGAGGAGAGGCTGAGACAAGGGTCGGTGTCTCAGAGAACCCAGGAGTCCTGGCTCCTAGTCCCCCCCCTCCACCTGTGCTCTAACCTACTGGACCCCGCCTTCTGAGCCAGGAAGAGAACCCAGGCGTCCTAGGTCTTAGCCTCCCCTGCTCTCTCAGAGCCAGGGAGAGAACCCAGGCGTCCTAGTTCCCAGCCTCCCCCCCCCACACACACCCCCTCTCAGAGCCAGGGAGAGAACCGAGGCGTCCTGGCTCCCAGCCCCTTCCCCGCTGTAAGCCACCAGACCCTGCCCCTCTCACAGAGCAGGGCTAGAACGGAGTGGGGATGGGGGTCTCGGAGGGTGTAGGGGGCTAGAAGGGTCCTGAGGGGGGTTGGAGGGAGCTGGGAATTGGTGAGGAAACTGGCTGTGGGGGGGGGGTCACTGGGGGAGGGGATGGGAAGTCTCTGTGGGGTTGAGGAGCTGGAGGGTCTCTGGGGGAGAAGGTGGGGGTTGGAGCTGGGGGGTCTAGGGAAGGAGCTGGTGTGGGGGTCTCTGGGGGAGCTGGGGTTTGGAGGAGCTGGAGGGGTCTCTGGAGTGGGGTCAATGAGGAGTCTGTGGGGGAGGGACTGGGGAGAAGTTGGGCATTTGGGGAGGTATCTGGGACTTGGGGGCCTCTGGGGAGTGGGGGTCCCTGGGGAAGGGGCTGGGGTGGGGGGGTCTCAGGGTGGGGGGGTCTCTGGGTGCTGGGGAGAAGGTGGGGTTGGAGCTGGGGGGGGTCTCTGGGGGAGGAGTTGGGGTGGGGGGGTCTCTGGGAGCTGGGGAGAAGGTGGGGGGGTTGGAGCTGCGGGTCTCTGGGGGAGGAGTTGGGGTGGGGAGGTCTCTGGGAGCTGGGGAGAAGGTGGGATTGGAGCTGGGGGAGTCTGGGGGGGTCTCTGGGGGAGGAGTTGGGGGAGGGTCTTTAGCGTATTAGGAAGCTGGATTCGCTTATTTTACATAATTACCACATGGTGGAATTTCTGGTCAGTTCCCTGCTAATTAGTCGCTGATGATGAGGCTGATTGGCCGGTAGCCACCAGGGACTTGCTGGATTTTGGGTGACCAATCAAGGCTCTTTCATGGGGACGGGGGTGGGGGGGCACCTATAAGACCAAGGCCCTGCAGTCGGGACATGGTCTGGTCACCCCCCGATTGAGTCTAATTCCTGGTTCTTCATGTTTGTTGGGCGTTGTTTGGCCGATGATCCGGTAATTGCTAATCACTCATCAGTTATTTCCGTAACGAGGGGCCCGTCAATTAATAGTGGAGTGGTAATGAATAGGGGCTAATTTCAGGCCTGGTGAGTTCTCAGTCCAGCTCGGTGAGCAACGGAAAGACCAGGTTGGCCCCAGTGATCTCGTTAATGTAGGTCTGGGCCGTTGTTCCCGTCAATATGATTGAAACGTATCAGTGCTTAGTTACTTTAATTAGATTGATTGGTTTACTTTAATGATCTCTCTCTGTTCTTTAGGGGACAAGAACTGTTGCTGTACGTTAGGAGCCAGGACTCCTGGGTTCTATCCCTGGCCCTGGGAGGGGAGTGGGGTCTAGTTTACCAAGCATAGTCAGGCTCACCCCTCCAATCGGTGACATTTCTCCATTTGTCTGTAACACGATGACCTTTGAATGCTGCATCCAACCGAGTCCAAAATGTTCGGAAACATGGCGGGCGTTGGTGGAAAGGACCCCGTCTGTTGGGGTGAAACCCGGAGACCCAACAAATCCCCTCACACTGACAACCTGCCCAGCGCCCGGCCAACACCGGGTACAAAGTCTGAGACCCCAGAGCGAGCCGACAGTTTTAGGGAAAAGTGATTTATGACCATTAATAGTGCTAAAAATTAGAAAACCAGCAACAGCTCTTCTACAGATGCTCCCCGACTTATGCAAGCGTTCTGTTCCAGAAGGCCTTGCATAACTCGAATTTTGCGTAAATCGGAAACGTATACCTGACCATTATACACACACACACACACACACACACACAAAACCGCTCCTGTTTCTAGCTTACGGAACTTTTTCCGTAATTGCGGATTTGCGTAAGTCGGGTTTGCGTAACACGGGGGGCGTCTGTACTCAGAGCTCTAAAGGTACATAGGCTGATAGTTCATGTGCTCCGATACCGCCGTGTTGTACCTTACGCAAATATGCCTCACAGAGCTCCGGCGTTCACGGTTCTAGTTCCCCTGGCCGCGTTGCTCTTCCGCTTATGCACAATAAGGATTGGTTGATAAACCTCAAAGACTGTAGGCTGGAACCGAACTAACGAGGATTCGTAGAGGTGACAGCCAGTCGACACGTTAGATCATGTAGTTTGGATCACAAGCTATTCAGTTTACCCAGTGTCCCTGTATTTAGCCTTAACAACATGCATTGGACTAGAGCGTATTTTCCAGTCTGGATTTGAAGAGCTCAAGATATGGAGATGCCACTTCCCTTGGCTGTTTGGGCCAATGGTTTTCTTCTGGAATTGGGGCTGTCTTTCCAATTGGAATTTGGCTGCCTGCTGCATTCAGCCGTTGGTTTGGGTTCTGCCTTTTTCCGCTAGATTACAGAGTCCTTCAGCACTGGGTATTTGGATGTGGACGCCATTGGAGAAGGTGGAAGAATGGACAACGTTCTTCTAAAAAATGGGGTTCTCCAACGCTCCGTCCTCTGGGCATTGGCTGAGCTGAGGAAGCCCCTAGGTAGGAGTGCTAAGATCTGATTTTGAATTTTACGGTTCACTGTCTATCCTGCCCAGGACCAACAAGCGACCAGCAGCAACCAAAGCAAAGGGTCAAACCGTGTGCCATCAATGGCGTCTGCAGCGCAAGGATGCGCTGCGTGCTGTTACCCAGGTGGTGGGAGCCAGCGCCTGGTGTCACAGGGAGAGCACCAGAGGCTAGTTCATGCCATGGAGACAGCTCTCCAGCGGTGGCTGCAGGGGGACTGTTGTTGCCACGCCACTACCTGTGCCTTGGAGACGCTGGCCAAATGCGCCCGTCAATTGGTAGCACAGAGAGCGCGCCACGGAGACGCCTCTCCAATGCCAGTGGCAGCTGCAGGGAGCCCACCAGCGCCAGGCTGTTGCCTGCAGAATGGAAACGATGCTACAAAGCCAGCGGCATCTCTTGGAAGATCAAGAGCGTCATGCCATTGCTTGCGCCACGGAAACGAAGCTCCACCATGAGAAGCGTCGGCCAACGGCGCCGATAGATTAGCGTCACAGGGAGAACATTGCTTAAATGGCTGTTCCATGGGAACCTGGCCCATTACTCACTTACGGCGGCAAGCAGCCAGATGTGATCAGGAAGAGGTTGCCCATGCAGATCCGTCTGGACTTTATCGCACGGCAATAGGGTGCAGCGAAGGCCGGGGACGTTGGGAGCGATTTCTAGGAGCGGTCGGAACCGGGGGCTCTCGGAAGGAGCACAGGCAATAAGCCATTTGCACTTAACTCGAGGGGCCGGCCAAGCCCAGGGCTCATTAGCCAACTTCGCAGTGCCAACGGCCGTGCCGATTTTCGGTTGGGTTGTTCCAGTCACTGCTGCCTAGAGCCTCCCTGGCAGCATCGGAGTGGATCGGCTGCGGCGTTCCAGAAAGACAGACAAGCAGCTGGCTTGGGGTTGGATAACGCCTGGCCTCCATAAGCGAAGAAATGCACGACCCTCTAGTTTCCAAATCACTGGTCAAATATTTTATGGTATTAGCGACTAATTAGTACTTATCGGTCAATTATTTAATTAGCTGGTCAATAACCAAGCAATCCTTTCCACAAGCTAATTATTTTTATAATGGTTTGACTATTTCTTTGTGAGCCAGTAAGTTCGTCACGGAGCAATCGTTTCTAGAAGCTAATCCCCAAGTAATGCAATCGGGGTTCGATTATTTGTTAGCAGTAATTGCGCATTAAACTGAATTGCATTATTAGTAATTATTGTGCGTCTTATCCTAGTGTCTCTGCGGCCTGGTCACAGACACACAACAAGCACCGGTGCTGCCCCAGAAAACTTATTTCCAGGATCGTTCGGCTACCTCCCTAACTAACGACACCCAAAGACATAATTGTCCCTAACTAGCTAAGGAAGGTAGGAGCTGGTCCCTGAGTCCCCTGAAATATGGTGGAAATGAATTCCTGGATATGTATCTCATTTGATTATTTGAATGTTTCTGAGTTCTTGAGGCAAGAACTGTGCTGTGTGTCTCCTGCCTAGTGGGGGCTGGGGGCCAGGACTCCTGGGTTCTATCCCAGCTCTGGGAGGGTAGCAGGGTCTAGTAGGTTAGAGAAAGCGGGGCTGGGAGCCAGGACTCCTGGGTTCTATCCCAGCTCTGGGAGGGTAGCAGGGTCTAGTAGGTTAGAGAAAGCGGGGCTGGGAGCCAGGACTCCTGGGTTCTATCCCCATCCCTTTCACCTGTCTGTGTCTCTCTTCCCAGGTCTCAGGCTCCCCGGGGGGACGTGGGACTGACGATTTGGGGTTCAGACCCCCTTACCGCAGGTAAGAGCCTTTGCTCCCCGTTGCTGTCTGGTGGGGGGGTAGCAATCACCCCCAAACACCCCTGGGGGTGGGAGAGGAGGGAGGAGGAGAGTGCTTGGCTTCCCATAGAGCTCTGGGGCACCCCACACTGCCCTCCTCAGTATCTCCTGCTGATTGGGTCTCGCTCTCGCTCTCCACACAGCTGTCCCCGTGGGCTGCCCAGCCCGGGAGCCCCAGGCCAAGGACCCCCCGGTGGCGGGGCCAGCCATGCCCCCCAACAAGGAGTCGCCAGGTAACCCCAGCTCGCCGGCGGCCCTCATCTGCCTGCCGCCCATCTCGGAGGACCTGCAGCTGGTGTGGACCCAGGCGTCCCAGACCAGCGAGCTGGACGGCCACCAGCCGCTGCGCCAGGCCTTCAGCTACTTCCCCTACCCAAGCCTGGCCGATCTGGCACTGCTTTGTCTGCGCCACGGCCTGCAATTGGAGAAGGTCAAGGCCTGGTTCATGGCCCAGCGGCTGCGCTGCGGCATCAGCTGGAGTGCCGAGGAGATCGAGGAGACGCGGGCGCGGCTGGCCTGCCGCCAGGACCGCCCGGCCTTCGGGGCCCTACTGGCCCCCGGCGACCCCCTGACGCAAACTGGCAAGGCCCCAGGAGGCAGGGAAGCCCCCGCGGCCACACACCACAAAGCCAAGCCCCAGGAATCCCCAGGGAGCTGTTCGGCTGCGGCCCACGGGCCCCCAGAGCCAGGGAGAGCTTCCGCGGCCCCCCACCCCAAAGCCAAAGAGACGTTGACGCCGCCCCCCAGCCTTTTCCCCACGCCGCCCCCTCCGTGCCGGGCCTGGACAGATCCTCCAGCCAGCGCCAGCCACCCGGACACCGCCTGGGACCTCAGCAAACCGTGCCGGCTGGCGGCGGCCAACACTGCGCCGCCCTCCTCCGGAGCCGCCGTCAACGGGGCCGAGGCGTGGGCCCGGCCCGGCCACCCCCACAGCACCCTGGAGGCCCAGCGGCAGCGCAAGAGCCGGCGGAAGAGCAAGGAGCAGCTGGCGGTGCTGAAGTCATTCTTCCTGCGGTGCCAGTGGGCGCGGCGGGAGGATTACCAGTGGCTGGAGCGGATCACCGGCCTGCCGCGGGCAGAGATCATCCAGTGGTTTGGGGACACCCGCTACGCCCTCAAGCACGGGCACCTGCGGTGGTTCTGGGATAACACCGTGCCCCCCACTGCCGCCCTAGAGCCCGGGCCCCGCACGGACACGGGCCCGCTGGAGCGGTACTGGGCCGCCCGGCAGCAGCTGCGCCAGGACGACCTGCCAGCCCTGTGCCGCGAGTCAGGCATGGGGGCCCAGCAGGTGCTGAACTGGTTCTACTCCCGCTCGCCCGAGCCAGCCGAGGTGGTGGTGTGCCTGGGCGAGGAGCCCGAGGACGAGGACGAGGAGGCCGGGCTCATGGTGCAGGACGACGGGGAGGAGGAGGATGACGAGCCGGAGGAAGAGGACCTGGGCACCCAGGAATGAGGAGCTTCGGAGACTCCCCGGGGAGGGTGGGGGTTGGGGGGAACCGACTCGTGCGCTGGGGCTCTGTTCTGTCTAGTTCCTCCCTCCCTCTGTTCTAGAACCCAGATCTGGGTCCTGCATCTAGTTCCCCCTCCCTCTCCGTTCCTGGGCCCCACGTTCCCCCCGCTTCTCCCCAGCTCTAAAACCCGGGTCCTTCTCCCTTTCTGTTCTGGAACTTGATATTACGCAGTTCTGCTCCCTAGATCATTGTTGTAATTTGCTCTCCATGCCTCAAGATCCAGATCTGGGTTTGTTTCCCCCCCTCGTCTTGGTGCTCTAGAACAAAGAACTGGTTCTCCTCCCTGTTCTAGAATCTAGGACCCTGTTTCGCCACCTCTGTGTTCTAGAATCCCAATCATGCCGTGAAACCCTTCCTCTGCTAGAACAGAGGGACACCCCCAAGCTCTGCCACAGGCCCTAGAACTTGGAGCTCTTGACCTAGAACCCAGCTGTCCAGTTCCCTCTATCATGCTCTAGACCCCAGATACCATTTCACTCCTAGTCCTCTACTCTAGAACCTAGGTTATCCGGTTACTGGTTTGTGTTCTAGAACCCAGAACCTTCTGACCAGTTGTCTGGATTCAGGTATGCTCCCTTCTCCAGACTTCCCCTACCACTCCCCCTCCTTCAGGCACCTCTGTTTCTAGAGTCTGTCCTGGTTCGTCCCTCCCCTCCTTCTAGATCACGTTAAGGCCCTGTTCCCCAAAGAGACGGGTGGAGGGAGCTGGGTGGGGGCAGCATTTGGCCTGGAGGGGGTGGGAGATGGTCTGTGGGGGGCTCCCTGGGTTTGGTTTTACAAACTGGGCAGGAGAAAATGGGGCGGCGGAGAGCGGGTGCGGGGCGGCCTTTCCCTGGCGGCTGTTGGTCCTTTCTGGAGTCGTTAATTTATAATACCCGGCTGGCGCGAGTTAAAGCGAGGTTTGAAGTTGAACTCCACGCCTGTGGCCTGTGTCTGATTGGGGGTGGGTCCGGGGGGGGGCTTTGGTTCATTCCTTCACTCACGTTCTCGTTCCCTCGGCGGTAGCTAGCGCACGTCAGTGGGGAGGGGTCCCTGACGCTCAGTGGGGGTGTCTCTCCTCTGGGTTCCCTGTCACTCGTTTCCTCCTCTCCTCCCTCATTTCCTCTTCCCCACTCCCTCCTTCAGCACCCGCCTCCTGCTGCCCCCTCGGCCCACTCCCACTAGGGCTCTGGGAGGTCGGCGTTCCCCCCCCCCAAAACCCGCCCTTAAATCATCCAGCCATTCCCCCAGCAGAGCCCCCAAGGGCGGGAGAAGAGCGGCTGGGGGGCAGAGAATCAGGTTACGTCCCCCTAGGTTACAGGGGGGTTATGGCTGAACCTCAGTTCTCCCCCAAATATGCAGCAGCCCAGTTGGAAAAGCCAGACATTTATTGTCAATGTGGGGGGGGTCTGGGCTCCAGTGGGATCAGAGCCATTTGGGGGCACCCCAACTGGGGGGGAGGCAGAGATAATGGGGGGCTGGACTCCAGTGGTGTGACTCCCCACAAATGGCTCTGATCCCAGCTGCGGTGGGGACAGGGATAGTGGGGAGCTGGACTCCAGTGGTGTGACATCCCCCCCACGGCTCTGATCCCAGCTTGGGGGTGGGGATAACAGAGCCCTGGCCCGAGTGGGGAGGCAGGTGTAGGGGGGGTTGGAGGAATGGGAACCCTTGGGCTGGGCCACTGGGGGCAGTACGGGGGGGGGGCTGTTAGACTGGCCTGGGGTGGGGGTGTCGGGTGGCTGGGGAGGGGTGTTAGGGAGTGTGGGGGGCAGGTGTGACTGGCTGGGGAGGCTCCCTTGGCTGTACTCCCCCTCCCCCCAGGCACAGTCACTCCGGTCCCCAGGGGGCTGCAGGGGAGAATCCGTCGGATGCTGGGGAGCCCAGGCGGTTTCTGTGCCCCACACGCTACAGTTGGGGGGCCTGGCTGGCACTGGGGGCCCTGCGGGGAGAGAATCCTAGTGAAGAGACAGAACAGCCCGTGGGGGAGGGTCGTTCCCCTCTGAGCCCCCCGCTCCCCAGACCCCTCTTTTGGGGGCTCACCCCCTTCTGAGCCCCCCTCCCCCAGACCCGTCTGTGTGGGGTGTGCCCCCCCCAATCCAGTTTCACTGACCTGCCATGCTGGGAGGGGGTGAGTTGGGGGGTGAACCTTAGCTGCGGGAAGAGAAGAAATTACCCAGAATGCTACAGCCAGATAGCGTGAGCCCCCTGCCTCCAGCCCACTCTGCCCCCGAGTGTCCTCCAGCTCGACCCCCAGCCTGTTCAGCCCCGCACCCTGCCCCCCAACCTGGTCTCCCCTGCCCCCCTCACCTGTATGGGTCTTGGTCTCTCTGTGCTTTGGCTCCCCCGAGCGGTGCCCCCCTCTCTCAGATCTGTGGGGCAGAGGGGAGGGGTTAGTGGGGCAGATTGTGGGTGCCCTGTGGACCCTGCTATGGGCTGGGAGGGGGATCCCCTCACCTCTCATTCCCATCCCCCCAGCTCACCTGCAAAGATGCCCAGTGCCAGCGTGGGGGGGCGCCGGCCCTGCCCAGCCTCGCCCTCCACTGGCCCCCGCCCGGGGGGGCGCAAGGGGAAGGTGCCCAGCGCTGGGGTCGGGGTGGAGGAGGAGGAGGCCCTGGGGGGAGAAGAGAGGGTTAGGGAAGGGGGAAAGCAGCAGCGAGACCCCCCTGGGACAATCCCAGCCCCACAGTCCTGCCCCCCAGGGGGAGGCAGGGACACCACCCCCCCACAGACACACACTCACCAGTAGGACAGGCTCTGGGTGGAGGCTGGAGACGGGGTGGCTGCGGAGCAGAGGGGAGACAGTTCAGGGGGGTCATGGATTTGCAGGGGGGGCCAGCTCCGGAGAAGGGGGAGTGAAAGTGGGAAGGGGTGATCCAGTGCCCTGGGGGGGGGGGGGCAGCCAGAGCCCGTGGGGGGCGACTGCCCCAGGGGGTGAGGGGGGGGGCAGCCATGGCTCTGAGGCCTTGTCCCTGTGACCAGGTCAGTTCTCAGCCGGCCGTGGGGCAGCCCCCTGGGCCTCGGGGCTAGCCGGGCCCCCGGCCCTCTCACCAATGCTGGAGCCAGTGGGGGTCTGGGTAGGTCCCGGAGCCTGCTGGGAAAAGGAGAGATGGAGTGAGTCAGAGTGGGGTGCCCGGGCAGCCCCCACACACTCCTCCACCTCCTATGGCCCCAGGCACCACACCCCCCACATGGCCCTCATGCCCCCCACACCCTGTGTAGTCCCCGCCACCCCCCAAGGGGCACGAGGGCAACTCACCAGCCAGCTGGGGGTGCTGGAGAGGCGGTAGGGGATGGACTCCAGCGAGGAGGAGCGGCTGTGTGGGGAGAGACCTCGTTACATGGGTCATAGGGGGTGTCCCCGGGGCGGGCACACGCACAGCAGGACCTAGTCCACCAGCAGGGGGCGCAGGGACACACACACACACCCCGCACGGCTCGGCCCCGCGAGCAGAGGGCGCAGGGGGACACACCCACACACCCCGCAGGGCCAGGCCCCGCCAGCAGGGCGCAAGGACACACACATACACACACACCCCGCAGGGCTCGGCCCCACCACCAGGGGCCACAGGGGGGCGGACACACACACACACACACACACCCTGCAGGGCCCAACCCTCCAGGAGGGGGCGCAGGGACACATACACACACACCCCGCAGGGCCCGGGCCCACTAGCAGGGGGCGCAGGGACGCACACACCCCACAGGGCCCAGTCCCGCCAGCAGGGGGCGCAGGGACGCACACACCCCGCAGGGCCCAGGCCCACCACCAGGGGGCGCAGGGACGCACACACCCCGCAGGGCCCGGGCCCACCAGCAGGGGGCGCAGGGACACACACACTCTCACCTGACCACCTGGCTGCAGAGCTGGGTGCGGGGCCGCGGGGCACCTGCGGGGACAGGCCGGGTGAAGACAGGGAGTCCAACCCCCCATCCCCATTCGCACGCCCACTGTCCCATGGGCACCTCCCACACTCACATGCCCACTGCCCTGCAAGAACCCCCAGCCCTTGCATGCCCTCTGCCCCACGGGCACCCACCTCACAAACCCCCATGGGCATCCCCGGCCCTAGTACGCCTGCCAGCCCTCACATGCCCACACACCCACTGCCCTGCAGGCATCCCTGCCCTTGCACACCCACTGCCCCACGAGAACCCCCAGCACTCGCACACCCACTGTGCCACAGAACCCGCCTCACACACCCACCACCTGTGGACACCCCCGGCCCTCACACGCCCACCGCCTCAGGGCACCCCCAGCCTTCACACGCCCACAGTCCCATGGGCGCCCCCACCCTTGCACACTCACTGCCCCCCCATGCCTTCACACACTTGTCACCACATTTGACCTATTTCAAGGGGGCTCCCCGGTGCCCCCCCCCAGGTTCTCCTTACCGCTCTGTGAGGGGGAGGTGATGCCAACTGGCCGGGGGGTGCTGACCCTGCCCAAGGGAAAGGAACACAGCTCAGGGCCGAGGGGATGGGGCACCTCCAGTGCCCCCATCTCCCCACACTCCCATCCAGCACCCAACTCCAGCCCAGCACCATATGCCCAATACTCCCAACTCCCTGCCCAGCACCCACCCCAGTGCCCCCAACTCCCCACGCAGCAACACACAACCAGTGCCCCCAACTCCCCACGCAGCAACACACCCCCAGTGCCCCCCAACTCCCCTCCCAGCATCACACCCCCAGTGCCCCCCAACTCCCCTCCCA